CGACCATGTGACCATGTGACCACGCAACCATGTGACCACGTGACCATGTGACCACGTGACCTCGCGACCATACGACCTCGCCACCACGCGCCACCACGTCACCATTCTAGGTGAAGTCTGCGGATCACAGAATGACCAGCCCGGCCTCATGGCAGTGAAATTGTCACCAGACTTAATCTATTGATTCGTGTCCTGGGACTTTTAGTGTTCCTCAGCATGAATTTCAAACCAGTACATTTCAACTGGACTTATCTTTCTGGTCGGGGCCACGGTTTTTCCCCATTAGGCAGCACATATGCTGTGGTGACTTGTCCAGGGAGTCAGCTGGGATAGGCTCCGCCCCCCGTGACCCTCGTGAGGACTGAGGTGTAGAGATGATGGATGGATGTTTTTGTTGTTCTTTTCCTCCGACAGTCAGCCTTAACCAGTTTTCCTGTTCTGGCCCGTCCACACCAGTAACTGCAGAGGTCACTATGCAGATGTGTGCGGCCACTGAGCAGCGGTAGCATGCTGCTGCTCTCAGCTCGCTGGAGAGCCATGTTCATGCAGGTGGACTGATGGAACCACAGCTGGACTCACGCTGGTTGTTTGAGGTTCTGCTTTGGAGCCTGAATCTTCAAAACAGTCTTTGTTTGTTTGTGATTGTTCATCCGAGGAAATGCGGTTCTACTTGAAGTAATCTGATTACTGTGAGGTGATACAGTTTAGAATCAGTGACACTGAGCGCTGCACTCAGTCCGCTCACATCCTGTTCATCCTCTAACCTTGCTGCAGGTCTAAGGACCATCGGTGTGATCACCAAACTGGATCTGATGGACGAAGGAACCGATGCCCGAGACATCCTGGAGAACAAACTGCTGCCGCTACGCAGAGGTATATGACATCACAAAGAATCCTGACAGCTGATTGGCTCTCACCGTCTTTTCAGTCATGCATTAAGTCTTCTTTCTAAACTGTGTCAGGTTACATTGGGGTGGTGAATCGCAGTCAGAAAGACATTGATGGGAGGAAAGACATCACAGCCGCTCTGCAGGCTGAGAGAAAGTTCTTCCTGTCGCACCCGTCGTACCGCCACCTGGCTGACCGTATGGGCACCGCCTACCTGCAGAAGATCCTCAACCAGGTAAACGCCAAAACACCTCATGACGGGGCTTTTAAAAGTTTTTGCTTTGCTCTGTTTCTGAGTTTCCAGTTCTTGTCTACAGCACAAAGCTTGAGTCAGGGTGCTGTTAGCGTAGCTTCACATTCAATTTAATTCAGTTTTATTTGTATAGCGCATATTTACAACAACAGTCATCTCATAGCGCTTCACAAAGACAGAAACACCCAACAATCCAAACATCTGGATTCTCTATAAGCTTCAGCAGTCTGCTGGTGGGACGGAACCGAAAACCCCCACAGGGGAAAAAA